CTTGAAAAACATTGCGAATATTTAAAAATTCAACACGTGAACACTTGTTTGAGTCACTGCATATGCACATACATATGTACATACGTGTGTGTGTGTACATATATATGTGGGAGCTTTAAGTGGCAAATTGATCACATTTTTAGCTAATCTCTGATCACAAACTCATCTGCTGGACGGCGACACCATGCTATCACTCCGTCATATGAAAACATACATACACCCCGGTTCAAGTTAATAAGTACATTTTTTTCCCTGGTTTTTATTCACGAGTTTTCATCTTATTTTCACTTTGAAGAAAGATAATTCTGTTAATTGTTAAATAATTCTGGAAAATAGTAAAAAAAAACAATAATTACAAAGTGGTAGAAGTTATAACTGCACTGCTATAACATTTCCGCATCAGACCTTTTCTTCGAATCCACTGGGATTTGAACTAGCGACTCCGGCTTTCAAAGTCAGTGGTCTACCCACTGAGCTGAGTTCGTCTTGTTAACTGTTATAGCTTTTTACCACTATTTTTATTTGTCAACTCAACTACAATCGAGGGCAACTATTTTTTGTTGCTATTTAGACTTGATCATGTCCTTATGGTTTTTAAATTAGGTTACACTTTAAGTTTTTGTTTTTGTCCTTTTCGTGGCCTCATAACTGTTTATATTAAACAATTTTATTAAGTTTGTTTGTTCCCACGACAGTCGGATCTAGATAATCGGAACGACCTCTTTTTTATATCTGGCCAAGGAATGTCACTCCACTCCCCAGAATCTCTTTAATTTGTATGCTGTTACAACAACAACAGCATTGCGTTTATTGATTTTGTTGGTTGATTTTTCCGAGAGTGCAGAAAGATGATTTATTTTGAAACGAATTTCCGTCATCACTTGTCTGCGATTTCTGAGAAAACGGCTTTTGTTGTAGAAAAGCTAGATGTTGTCAGTTGTGAACTATGTATTTACCGGAGAGAGAACTCAATTAAGAGAGGTAACAAGGGGCTGGATACAATATTGTTGCTGCAAAGCTTGCTCCTATTAACTTTTCAATACGCAAATTAGGATTAAGCTTTCAACTGAAACTAGTATAATAATAATAATAGTAGATTGACGCTTTCAAAATCAGGGCTATCACAGAATCCATCGTAGGTTCGATTTTCGTGAAATCTACTGGATCCCAAAAGCTACGAACGTAAATTCGAAATTCGTAGACAGCCTTCATTAAATCCGTTCGTAATGAAGATTCGTACTGATACTCTACGACGAGTTTATGCTGTCAGAACAAAATTTTAAATCGCTGAATCTTAAAAATAATGCAAACAAACTTCATTATTGTTGTTAATAAATATTTGTTATACATACTCCAAAATTGTAATAGTTTTATATAATTCCGTATATGGGTTTGTGTGTATATGTGATCCCGGGATGCCGGTGTTTTTAAGGTCCCGGGATTTTGAAATATCGAACTGATAGTAAGAACTTCTGTTTCTATTCAGGAGTTTCCCAATAATAATACCCGATTATTTATTTAACCATTAATTCATAGTAACGTATGCGAAATGAAATGCGGACAATTTCTAAGCAGATTTTAACAAATTCTGGTAAACACAGGAGCCAAACTAAGTATACCAAAATCTACTGCGCAATCTTTACAAGCATTCCACTAAAAATTTCTTTAAAAGTGAACGAACTCTGAAAATATGCTTGTAAATTTTGTATACCGAAATTCAATGTCACGAAAAGTAACGTGCTTTTTCATTTTTTCTCTATTTTTTCTCTATTATTTACAAAAGCTTTAAAGAATAGGAAAACACTAGAAGGAAAACACATGAGTGCGAAAAAACATGTTTCACATAGCAGCGAAATGAGACCGTAACAAATTCATAAATTGCTTGATCTCTCTGAAAAATCACAGCGTATAATGACAATGAAGTGCAAAGTAAGCAAAAAAAACCTTAGAGACTGCAAGAGCCAGGGAAATACAACAAACATAGTGAAATATGGGCAAACCAATCTACCCAAGATTTTTTAAACGTTGAATGGGAAATTAAAAGCGGCTATGAGCGCTTTCCCAAAATTTGCGTGCACCACATTCATTTCAGTTTTGTACAACGAATTAGGGAAATACTTTTCATTGGGGACCCATAAAAGAACACCTAAATATAACTCTGAACTAATTATCGTCTAAATGGCTACAAAATAATAACTCAAATTGGCACAATAAAGTCCCAAAAAAATATAAAAGCACTCCACCTTATTCCAGAAAACTTAAACCGATTGGCCTGTTAAGGACATGAGTCTTTTTTATAAAAATGTTTCTTGGAAATTTCGACAATATCTATGCGAGTGGGAAAACAATATTTGTTGCATCCGAAAGTATAGCTGTTTCTTTTTACTGCATCAGTTCGTATTTCGTTCCGCATACGTTAACTATATTTTATAGGTCCGTCAAACCGTCAAGCTAAACAGTTTTTAGTATGAAAAAATGTTAAAATAAACAATTGGATATGTTCATTGGTTTATGTATTTATTCTGATGAGAACAGAGTTTTCCGATCGAAAAATATTGATTTTCAAGAATCAATTTAAATTACATGGAACAATTTGAACGCTTTGAGTGACCTCTAAATTTGGACCACCCTATTGAACATATATGTAAGCATATGCTCAGGCTTGAAGCGCACGCTGGAACGGTGTTCAGAACATGTCACGCCATCTGTGCATATGTATGTAGCAGCTTTGACGTTTCATATTGCTTATTCCAATTTAAATTAAATCAATTACATACATATGTATGTATGTATGTACTATATGAAGCAAACATATCTAAAGACTAAAGAGAACTAGAAATCCAATATAATATTCTATAAAACTTTTAAAACAGCAATATTGCATGCATTTACTATATGAATATCCTTATGTACTTCATATTCGATCCGATCTGCTTAAGCTTAAATAAAAGTGAGCGCTTCGCATATACTATTGGCTGATATCAGTGTTAAGTGCGATTAGTTAGAGCGATCAGCAACGATCATTAACTTTCGTCGATGTTAACGATACGTGCGTACTGCCTTTCGTAATGTCGTGGTACAATTTACGGCGTCGCTGAAGTGGGTGCTACACAATCACATTCGCTCTCGAAGCATTAGCAACGCCACAGGAGCAACGGTTGGCTTCATTCTACCTGCTATTTTGAGCTGATTTCAGTTCTCGCCTGACGCGCTTTTGAAACGGTTGCTTGCTTGCTGGCTCAATAAATATACACTTGTCGTACCGCTTGGTGTTAAACAAATAGTTGGCATTTGCTATTAAACGGGCACCGGTCTCGCTCGAAAGGAAATACAGACATAGAGAAGAAAAAAAAAAGAACGAAAGAAAAAGCGAGTATGTGGCGCGTATTTTTCCATTTAATATTTGTCCATTTAAATAAACTTGTTTTTGTGTAATCGTTTAACTTTTCGCTCGTAGAAGGGAGGTGCTTTAAATGGCCGCTTATTGAACAAATTGCACTTTTTAATAAAATGCAACAAAATACAAGTTAATAATATACTAGAACCTGAAAATTCCTTATGATATTAAAAATAATTATCATTATAAATAATTGCTTTCTAAAAGTGATCTCATCTAGACGAACCTAAAATTTTATTTTAACCACAAAAAATGCCCCATTAAAACTGTGAAAGTGTTTGTGGTTGTTGCTACGATGACAAACTATTCGCCATTTATTGTTGGTGGAAATAAAAATCCTTGGGATGTTAGGAGTGTAGACTAATGGCCACGAGCTGCATCAAAATTCCAGTTTTATTTGGATGTGTGCTCCTAAAACCTGATTTTAGTGTGTCTATAATTGGCAAATTTATAAAATCTGATTTCAAAGTAAAATATCGTTTCTTTTTACAAAACGCGCTATACATATAAAACGAATATCCCAAAAGATAATTTAGGTAGGCCTTCTTAAGTGAAACGATTCTAAAAGGCCTACCCAAGAAGGTATAAAGAAAGTGCTTCCCTGCATAAATTCTAGAAGGGCTTTTTCTATTTCCGGAAATTATCTACTGGGATAGCTAAGGGTCATGGACTTTCAAATTAATTTACTTCAGTTTTTAGAATATTATTTTGCGATATGTAATAATTCTAACACTACTTTTCTTAATTTTTAGCAAACAACAACTAAAAATACTGTGTATACCACAAATCTAACAGGAAAATTTTCTTGCTAAAAACAAACAGTCACAAACATGTCTGCCAAAGCCATTTCCGAAGCCTCTGGCAAGGATATATTAAATCGGCATTTGAATGTGAATGGACCTTCCGGTGCGGCTCAGTGTCGGTTTGCAACAGTGAACACCCAAACGGATTGGTCACAATTGTCCGTAAGGCATCCTTGGCTGCTGGACACGGTAAGTAGTACTCGCGTCGATAACCATTTAACAGCTACACAATAATAACAATCTCTTATTTACCTGTATATGTGTGAAAATAATTTACAGTACCCTAAATCGATTGAATGGCTTCTCTGATTTAGTACCACATTTAGTTTATACACTTCACACTTTTATTGCACACAATCTTGAAGCAGAAATATTTCAAAGTGTATGAAGTAAAGGTGGGCGAGGTAGAATATAATTAATATTACGAATACTAAAATTTACGTGATTTTAAATTAGTTTTATTATACAAAAAATCGTTTTCCATTGAACTTCAACACAACCGGCAAAAATTTGCTTGTTCATCACGAAATGAAATTGTTATTGTTTTGCATTGGAATATGCATAAGTACATACATATGTACATATGTTTAATTAATAATATCAAAATAGAATACCGTTATTATGGTACGCGAGAGCTTAAGTTAATTTTTTTCTTTATATTTTATTTTATTTTTATTTTATTTGCACTGATAATGGGATAACGCTAAAAACACACAAACCTATGATTGTTAATTTCCAGACTTATTGAATATATGTACATATGTATGAGTTAACATACATATATGTATGTATACATTTGCATTTATTGCTGTTATCGGTATTGCTTTTGCTATATGTTCTAATAGAACTGTATTAGTTGATTTAAAAGTGTAGATGTGGAAATTTTAAATAGCCGTAGCTAGAGGTCAATGCGAATTAAGTATGTGTTTATAGGCTACGCATGGCTATTGCTGATTTAACAACAATCGCGTGGTTTATTTGATTATAGAATATTCAATATATGATAACAATCACAACTTATTTGTCTATAAACCTATGAAAAAAATCTTATCAGCCACTGACTCGGTCTTAGTCATAGACTTGTATTTTGAACGTTGTTTTTTTTTTTGTAAATCATGCGATGTGTTTGATAATAGTACTAACCCACCAGAGAATTTTTGTTGCCGGCAATAAGAAAATGTGTCGCCCTCAGCAAAAAATTTATTGCCGGTAATATCGCCATCATATCGATATCTTATTACCAGTGGCTCTAAAACGTCCACCGAAGGCAACTCGCCTGGGCGAATCGTTTTGTTATTACCTGAATGAGTCGTTTTGTTATCGCCTTTTTATTGCTACAGGCGATATTTGGAAATTGTTTTTCTTCTTAATACTTCATTTATTTTTTGTATAAAAAATTGGAGCTTGAAAACGGGATTAAGTCTTTCTATCGATATGGGGCTTCCTATTTTTTCAATCCTATCTCTGGCATAAATTAGATGCTTCTGGATATTACTTTTGTTGTGAAATTCATAAGTTTGGGAATTTTTGATAACTTATTTATTCCAAAATTTACGTGAAAGAAATGATGTTGCCAATTTGTCACCACGGCAATAAATCGGTGAGTCGTCAATTTTTTGCTATTGACGATTGATGAGTATTTCCCATGTTTTGCATGGTGGGAATAGTTAAATAAACATTTCTTGTATATTTTCTTGTGCGATTTCTTGTATGTGTGTATGTGGAAAAAAGTTGTAGAAAAGTGTTTATTTTAGAATGAATTGCCGCCATTCCGTAAATTTAGGTTCGGAGACAACCCGATTTCGGCGTTTTGCCATCGTTTTGTGTAATTTTTAATTTATTTCTCACTGCTGTGGTTGTTATTGCTGTAATAGCGTACAAATTCTCCAAAGTTTTTGAGGAATTATACTGGAGCAAGGCGAATTTATAAAAGGTTGCGTTCGTTGTATTTTGGGATACTTCTTGCTGTCATTGGGCGTATAATTAGTTGTTGTAATTTTTGTTTTTGCTCAACCGATACCACCTTCGCCAAATTCGCCTAGTGTTGGAGGGACAGCCCGTGGTCGGATAGTCTACATAACTTGACCGACTCCGACCGAACCGACTCCCAGTGAAGGTCGTTCAGGGTCTGTCATTCCCACGACAGCCGGTTCTACGTACCGGAATGACTCGGGTTTTACCCGACCAAGGGCTGTTCGTTCGGCGATCTATCCCCGTTTAGGTCGGCGAAATTCATCAAGCATTTCTCAGTTGTTACTGGTGCTGTACCCAGTAGATAATTACGGGAGCTAAAAGCCCTTCCAAAAGGCCTACTTTAGAAACAATAGGCCTTCCACTATGCATTCCTTTCTCCTCTCTTTTCTGTATGGAGTGGCACAAATGGAAAGCCTTCTGCTTTCGTTATCAATAAAACGGCTACCAGAAGGCCTTTTTTAGGACGTATTCCATAAGGCCTTTTGGAGGAGTTCTCATTCAGCTGTCGCTTTTATTCATAAAAATCATACTCAATATGTTTGGGCTATGTTTGTCTCGACTATTATAATAAAGTATTAGTAGGCGATCGCTTTGGCTGAGTGGTACTACCTTGCAGTTGTATAGAGTACGTGCTATTTTTAAACGTAGAAATTATTGAATATGCAAATTTATATTCGAAAAATTGTAGAAGTACTCGAACGTCATACATCATCCAATTTCTAGCGTTTGTTTATGTATTTACCTTATCGTTATCACGATGAACTCGTCAGAATCCTATCCCACTCTCTTTATTTCTCTCTCCCAACCAGCTCATTATTAATACATACATATATGCAATCATCCTCTAGTGTTTTTGTTCAACTATAACGATCTTATGCTACACCCAAGAGTACAGAAACACACAACAAAATTGTTGTCGTGGTGTCAATTGTTTGTAAGCAGCAAGGTGGCCTGATGTTGTTCATGTTATGACGTCAGGTGAGCGTTTACACTTGTGATTGTGTGGGTCAGACCGGCCCATTTAATCGGAAAGAGCGCTTTTTTAGAGACATCTGTGTGAATATTAAGACATGCATTTTTAAAAGCAAATTTATTAAATTTATTGATAGGCCCTAGTTCACTTAACGGGAAGACACTTCTATAGTTACTCGTACAATCAAATATAATTTTGTAAGAGGTGATCAAATTTGTTCCTGAAATTGGAGACATTTTGGCTAAATATTTTATACATATTAGATGATACAGCTCGAAGCGGGAATATACCCGCAATACTTCCCCAACCTACGCTTCCATTTGTAATTTATCGCACGTTACCTTGGATTGTTTTCAAATTGCTGGTCAAAGTAGCATCCAAAAAAATTACAGAAAAAGGTTTTCGACAGGAAATGGCAAACCTCCAAGTCTATTTCTGCCTTGAGAAAGCTTCTCATAAAATTCATTTGCCGTTCGGTTACGCCGTAAAACTGTAGGTGCCTTCATTTGTGTAATCACATCTCCTCCAAAAATTGGAGGAGAAGCTCGGCCAAACGCTTTACTAAAGTGTAAGCGCCAAAATATTATTATTTTTTCAATGTGAATACAAGAAGAGCGTAAACGCTTCCCCTCTAATGACTTCTACCACAGTTAAAGGAACGAGGAGGAGGTAAATGGCATCGAGAAATTTCCCTGCGCCCGTCCTGCCTTGTCCTAAATACGACAACGTAATCAGAAATATCTCTCAGCGTAGCGGGCTAAGAATCCTTGAATATTCACAGCCTTCTCCGCTGTTTACGGGAGAATAAGTGAAACGTTTATATGTAGTGTTGGATGGGGTACACATTGGGTCACGCTAGTATATCATAATTTGGCTGAGGTGTAACTACATTTCCTATACTGAGTAGCAGTCAACGTAGCTTTGGTGAAGCTTAGCATTGCCAGTAGAACCAAATAAGCTTTGCACATTCTTCACACGTACTAAGAATGGTAAATGCACTCGCTTCGACAAGGAACTTTTATGCATTCTCTCTGCTCTTTCTTCAAAATTTGTATCTACAGAGTCTGTAGTACAGACTACTAGGCTGTTATATATGCAATACATTAATGTTTGACATCGTATCAAAAAAATACTTTCAAAAGACAAGTTTTGAAATAAAGAACTAAATCTAGACTTTTAGAAAAATAAATAAAGTCAACAGCGTCCGGGTGTCCACAGATGAATTGAAAAAAAAAATCTTAAAAATAATCTAAATAATTACAAAAATAAATGCATTAGTTTTTTAATTAAATTGTGATTATTTTATGATTATTTCTAATTTTAACTAATTACCAATTACCAGGGTGGCCCGCAACTCCTTCCTCCTCTGAGCACCTGGCTATGGTTTTCTTTTTTCTTACTGGAAAATATCCATATCCTTGCACATATATCCTTGTACTATATATTAGCGTGTGCCGAGAATACGCTTTTTTAGAATTTTGATTGGTAATAGCAAAAATATGGTGCTCTAAAATAAATCTGTGTGAACTGTGAAAATTTTTGGTCAATATCCTACCCATGTCCACCAAAGGTGAAGTACTAAAAAATTTGTTTGTTAGCTAACTTCGATTCTCTACAAAAAGGATCCATATACCAAACTATGTAGGACTAATACTTTCGAAGATTATTGCAATTTTAGTAAAAAAATGTATTAATTAATCTATTTATTAATTTTTATTTTTTGAGCATATTGAACTCTGATGGGCTTGGGCGAGCCTAGGTATTGACTAAAAAATTCTAAATTTCACACAGATTTTTTCAAAGCATAATGAATCATATTTTTGCTATTACCAAACAAAATTCTAAAAAAGCGGATTTTCGGCCCACGCTACTATATATAGTACATATTTATGTATGAAGAAACTTCTTAGCCTTGGTTCCTTTCATATTTTTTATGAATATTTAGAACTGCAATGCCACTTTTGCACTTTCGCAAGTGATTCTAAATCTGCGTTTGACAATACAAATAAATAAACACAAGTAATATTTGTGCATGTGTTGATATTTGCAAGTTCAAAAGCCATATTCAATCCAATATTTGAATTGTTTTTCAGTATCTTGAATAACCTTTGTTTCTAGCAATAGTATAGTATTCATATGTATACATACATACATATGTATATATGTATGCATAAGTATTTACATTCTTAGGTGCGCCACTGCACTACTTCTAGTATGTACGCACGAGTATATTCGATCACGTTTAGTTAGTACATATGCAGGTACATACATAAAGTCATATCTATTTTATTTACCTACACCTTTTAGCTGATTACCGACTTTACAAGTGAACATTGTGCGCTTTTATAGTTACTCATACACCTTTTATGTAATTTTCCATTTGCAGCCATTAGTGGTGAAACCGGATCAATTGATTAAGCGACGCGGCAAATTGGGTTTAATCGGCGTTAAGAAAAATTTCGAACAAGTCAAGCAATGGATTGGCGAACGCATAGATAAGGATCAAAAGATCGGCAATACTGTGGGCAAGTTGCGTAATTTCATTATTGAACCATTTTTGCCACATGACGAGGTGAGAAGAAGTTAGGAAATTAAACATTTGTTATTTAAAATTCAATCTAACTTTGTATTTTCACTTCTAATCACACCAGTCTGAGGAAATGTATGTCTGCATCTACTCGCATCGCAGTGCCGATACGATTCTGTTCTACCACCAAGGTGGTGTTGATATTGGTGATGTAGATGCGAAGGCCTTGAAATTGGACGTGCTGGTTAACAATGAAACTTCCGTCGAAGAAATCACAACAAAACTGTTGGTACATGTCAACGATGCTTCGAAGAAGAAGCGTATCGCCAATTTTATTTTCGCTCTTTACCGAGCTTATGTCGATCTTTACTTCACATATTTGGAAATCAATCCACTGGTCGTGACCAAAGACAGCATGTATATTTTGGACTTGGCCGCCAAATTGGATTCTACGGCCGATTTCATTTGCCGTCCCAAATGGGGTGATGTTGAGTATCCACCGCCGTTCGGTCGCGACGCATATCCAGAAGAAGCCTACATAGCCGATTTGGATGCGAAGAGTGGCGCTTCATTGAAGGTTAGTTTGCATTGACATTTCAGTAGGATTATTTTACTATATATGTTCATACATACATACATACATCACTCATATCTCTTTTCTTTACAGTTGACAATTCTCAATCGCAATGGTCGCATTTGGACTATGGTGGCCGGTGGTGGCGCTAGTGTTATTTATTCAGATACGATTTGTGATTTGGGTGGTGCCTCCGAATTGGCCAACTATGGTGAATACAGTGGCGCGCCATCTGAGCAGCAAACTTATGAATATGCCAAAACTATTTTGACCCTCATGACTTCGTCACCAAAGCATCCAGAGGGAAAAGTGCTCATCACTGGTGGTGGCATTGCTAACTTCACCAATGTTGCTGCAACCTTCCGTGGCATAATAACAGCTCTGCGTGAATTCCAACCCAAACTGGTCGAACACAATGTGTCGATTTTCGTGCGTCGTGCCGGCCCCAATTATCAAGAAGGCTTGCGCAAGATGCGCGAATTCGGCTCCACACTTGGCATTCCATTGCACGTGTTCGGTCCAGAGACGCATATGACTGCGATTTGTGGCATGGCGCTGGGTAAACGAGCCATTCCACAAACCACAGCTGCAGAATTCTCCACAGCTAATTTTCTACTGCCCGGAGGTCAGCAAGCACAGTCTGAGCTCAAGGCCACTGAAACTGCAGAGAGCAATAATGGCGGTAAGTTTGCATTTACATTTGACAATTATGTTTGAATAAAAGCCTTCCAAAAGATTGGTGTAAAATTAAGTATATTCTTGGATGGTTTTGCATGGTTCAACATAAGTTTTTTTTTTCTGCCCACTTTCATAAACATGTTTGGACTGCAGAGATCGCGAATAACAGTTAACCCACAAATGATTATGTTTCTATCACTTGGCTTGTATATGATGTTAATAAAAGGTATCTGAAATTATAGGAGCGTTCTCGCATTGCATATTATACGGTTAAACAAAATTTGGTCGTATTTTATAACAAAAACGGGTCCAACCTCATCTCATAGATTTTTCGATGCTGATTTGAAGTGCATTTACAAAATTTGTCTAGCATGTCCAGTACTTGAAAAAAAAAAACGATGAAGTATGTAAAAATGCCAAGTTTAAAACAAAAAATTAAAAATATAATTTGAACTAGTTTTTCTGAAGAAAAAATCACGTATTAATGAAAATCCAATTCGTCTGATGGATTCAACCTCCTATCGATTGATTCAGTAGAAAGGGGTGAAAAATTAAAAAAAAAACTTAGTAAAAAAATACTAGCGAAGAACATGGCTAACGATTCCACCAGGTTATAACCAGTATGGAGAAGCGGTATGATAGGAAATCAAACCTCTACATCCTAGCCTGACTATTGCTGAACCTTGAAAAGCGATGATAATGCGATCCACAAAAGAAAATGTTTGGGGATTCCATTCCAGAACGCGGAAAGTGTTAATAGACAAAAGACTAGCTACCCAGTAGATAATTGCAGGGGTTAAAAGCCCTTCCTTAAGGCCTTCCTGAGAATCAAGAGGCCTTCCACTCTATATTCCTTTCTCCTTTCTTTTTTGTATGGAGTGGCACAAATTGAAGGGCTTCCTCTTTCGCTACCCATAGAAGGCATTCCAGAAGGGCTTTTATAGGACGTACTTCAGAAGGCCTTTTGGAGGAGTTCTTTAAAGTTGCTTCTTTAATTTATAAAAATCATACATCTTTGAAGTATTTGCTTGAGGTTTATATCAAATATGTGTTATGTAATTTAAAATTTTAATTGGAATTCATTTGTAATGTTAAATAATATAAATTTATACATTCGCGTAAATTGTAAATGGATAAGCCCTTCTAGAAGGCATGCAAGGAAGTACTTTTTCAACCCTTCTTCGGTAGACCTTTTAGGATGGGCTACCTAAATTATCTTCTGGGTAATGATGAATATCCCAGATATTGATTTTTTAACATTGTATTTATGGGAAAATAAGTGCATGCTATTGAAGAACTAAGTTTTTTTTTTAATTTTTCACCCTTCACGTTTATTGCTGAAATAAAAAATTAATAATTTTAATCATACATTTGTACTTAAATTTTTGCAGGTTTTACGGGTTTTTACAGGAAGCCGATCCCGATCGCCACCTTCCATAAGGTTTATTAATGGCGAAAACTGCTTTTCCTGTAAATTCTGTAAAACCTGCAAATCCTGAAGTACCTGTAACAGGGCTAATGTTTATCTCATTAATTATTATAGGAATACATATACAAGTGATAACTGTTATTTACGATCACTGATAGACTGTCAAGAAAAAAGCGATGATTCTTATTGCATTTAAAAGTTCAGTAACACGTTTTTGTTTGGTTAAATCGTTTTTTTTTAATCAAAATGGTATTTTAAAGCTTTAAAGCACATTTTATAAGCATTCCCGGGTTTAATCTACATACTGAAATATTTGTTTATTTCAAAATTTTTAAATTGTTGCTTAATAAAAACCGCAAGTTTGTATACCTTTTATCGTTTGTGTGAAGTGAGCTGGATTATCGTGCTTTGAATGGCCTTAAAGTGCCAATTTGTCACTTTTTCAAAATAGAAATTTTTAGCACCAAGTTTCAAATGCATAAATTTAACTGTAGTACAAATTTGAAAACTTTTGATATTCAAAATTTCCTTTATCTAACCATATCCTGTACAAGCTATCAACTAATAACTTATATTCAAATATATTTCTTGTATTTTTGTATGTATCCTCTTCGTCCGTCCTCATGTTTGTATGTAATCGGTTATCCTGCTCAACATCATCACCACCACCTCAATTTCCAATACCACTACCACCATTACTACTACTTTGACAAAGCGTTAAATTGTTTTTTGGAAACATAAAAAAACATTTGTTGTCGTCTATCCTCACTATGATACTCTTTAACGTATTGTTTGCTATGTGTTTGTGCTCGTGTGTTTTGCCTGTTTTTGTGCATCTATCTCTTTCGCCTCACGTTCATATCTCAAAAACCAAAACCAACCATAAAAAAAAAAAAAACAAAAAAACAACAACGTCTTGGCACGATATCTACCCATGCTCTCAATCAACTGCAATGAACATTCAAAACGTTATCGAAATCAAAACCAAAATCGTAAATCATTTGGGAACACATTTAAGGTATAGGTTCATCACCACACTCGATTAAACTACCACCTATTTCGGCAGATGACTCTGTTACCAATGACTCTGTGCACAACAATGTCGCAAATGCGCATACGCGTAAATTTTTCAGCAACAAAACGAAAGCCATCGTCTGGGGCATGCAACAACGGGCTGTACAATCAATGCTGGATTTCGATTTCATTTGCAGGTGAGCGAAGTGGAGAATTGTAGTGTATTTTAAACGTAATAACATTAGTATGTCAACAGTATTATATGAATTTCCCCCCCCTCTTTCCCATATAGACGTGATGAACCATCCGTTGTCGCTATGGTATACCCCTTCACCGGCGATCATAAGCAAAAGTATTACTGGGGTCACAAAGAGATTCTTATTCCAGTTTATAAGAAAATGTCTGACGCTGTTAAGAATCATAAAGATGTCGATGTGATGGTTAACTTTGCCTCATTACGTTCGGCTTATGATTCAACTTTAGAGGTATTGGAGTTCCCACAAATACGCACAGTGGCTATTATTGCTGAAGGCATCCCCGAGAATTTGACCCGCAAACTGATTGTTTCCGCCGACAAGAAAGGCGTATCTATCATTGGGCCCGCCACTGTTGGTGGTGTCAAGCCTGGTTGCTTCAAAATCGGCAACACCGGCGGCATGTTGGATAATATATTACATTCAAAACTCTATCGTCCCGGAAGTGTGGCCTATGTATCGCGTTCCGGCGGTATGTCCAACGAATTGAACAACATTGTCTCAAAAGCTACGGATGGTGTGCAGGAGGGTATTGCTATTGGCGGTGATCGCTATCCGGGCTCAACATTTATGGATCACATTCTACGCTACCAGGCCGATCCTGAGGCCAAGTTGATTGTGCTGCTCGGTGAGGTAGGCGGCACGGAGGAATACGAGGTGTGCGCAGCTCTCAAGGATGGACGCATAACAAAACCTTTAGTGGCGTGGTGTATTGGTACATGTGCCAGCATGTTCACCTCTGAGGTGCAATTTGGCCATGCAGGTTCATGCGCCAACTCAGATCGGGAGACGGCTTCTGCAAAGAACAAGGCATTGCGTGAGGCAGGCGCATACGTACCCGAATCTTTCGATTCGTTGGGTGACCTCATTCAACAAGTATATGCCGAATTAGTAAAATCGGGACGCATTGTGCCCAAAGAAGAAGTACCACCACCCACTGTGCCAATGGATTACTCTTGGGCGCGTGAATTAGGTTTAATCCGCAAACCCGCTTCCTTCATGACGTCTATTTGCGATGAGCGTGGCCAAGAGTTGCTGTATGCTGGCATGCCCATCAGCGAGGTGCTCAACAAGGACGTGGGTATTGGTGGTGTGGTGTCACTCTTGTGGTTCCAGCGCTGTCTGCCTCCATACGTTTGTAAGTTCTTCGAAATGTGCCTAATGGTGACGGCTGATCATGGACCGGCTGTTTCGGGTGCGCATAACACAATTGTGTGTGCACGTGCCGGCAAAGACTTGGTTTCGTCCGTCGTCAGTGGCTTGCTGACAATTGTGAGTTGGAGGGCAAACGGAAATTTGTTACATTTAATAAAATTGTTAACACATTTTATAGGGTGATCGCTTTGGTGGCGCTTTGGATGGTTCAGCCCGGCAATTCTCCGAGGCCTATGACTCTAATTTGCATCCAATGGAGTTTGTCAATCAAATGCGCAAGGAAGGTAGACTCATTATGGGTATTGGACATCGTGTCAAATCGATTAATAACCCAGATGTGCGCGTGAAAATTATCAAGGAATTTGTATTGGAAAATTTCCCAGCTTGCCCATTGCTCAGATATGCGCTGGAAGTGGAGAAGATCACGACAAGCAAAAAGCCGAACCTGATCCTGAATGTAGATGGTGTAATTGCTACGAGTTTCGTGGACATGTTACGCAACTGCGGCTCATTCACGAGGTGAGTTCAGTGTTGGGGGAACTTGGATTAAGTGGTGTGTGTTCATCACATTTTTTTAGAACAAAATTTGTGTTCAAAAGACAAAGTAATTTTAAAACCTTCTTGAGAAAATGGTCCTGAGTTTATGGAAATGCTGATGACTTTTGGTTTAAAAAATGCATTTCAAACGTTTTTGAAGGTTTAAACTTTCTTGCTTCCCACCCAAAGTAGTTTTTTTATTTACTCGTGAAAGGAAGAAAGGCGTTCAATTTGTATAGTACTTTAAAATTATAAAAACGTGTTGGATTCGCTGTTTAAGTTAGATCAATTTTGAGGTTAGCTTTTTTTGTTATAATTTAATTTTTAGTTTCCGGATAGCAATATTCTGATTTATCCTTTCTTACTATTCCATATTATTTAGCGCTGCAACATATTTTGTTTTATTAATTCTTTATTTTTATCTTTGCAGTGAGGAAGCTCAAGAATACATCAATATCGGTGCGATCAACTCGCTCTTCGTGCTGGGACGCAGCATAGGTTTCATCGGTCATTACATGGACCAGAAGAGGCTGAAGCAGGGTCTATATCGTCATCCTTGGGATGATATCTCTTATGTTATGCCCGAGCAATTCAACTAAATTTCCGGAAGAACATTTAACTTTAATTGAAGTAACTTTATGATAAATTAAACAAAGAAAAACATTTAAATGAAATGGATATGTATCTTAGTATACATATTTACAGAGTATATATATAAACTAGTGTGTATATAAGCAAATACAATGTATTACAACAATGCACACAACTAAAAAAAATACTACATATAAATACACTCCAGTAAGTTTAACTTAAAGTTATTAACATGAAAAGTAAAAATATATAAACTTCCATTATTTTCCATATAAAACTGTTTTAGGTTTCGCATTTATTAACTGTTCTTGCTTTATTCTTCATTAATACGTAACTTGGTAAAAAAAGTCCACGCTTTCTTTTTTTATTAACATTTGTTATACATAATATTATTTAATTATGTTCAAATATAAAAATGTAGCGGTGCAGCATTTTAGCTGTGTTATAAATAAACTTGTTTTGGAACTTTCGGCGTCATTATTTCATAATAATTTAATAAATTAAATGAAAGTGGTCAACCACAACGAAATTGTTTACACACGAAATCTATAATTTACTTAAGCTAAGTGGACGCAATACATGTTCAACCAATTACTTATAAATGGCAAAACCAAAAGCCGATTGTTTAACTGAAATTACCTTTGCCCGAATCGAGTATTCGAATTGAAATTTGATTTTGAGATCACGACATTCGATGGCGAGGGGGCTTCGTCAACACAGTGTATTAAGGAGAAAAAAGCTGTTGAATTCTATTCGATTCATTTTGAAACAGATATGGTTAATTATATTAAAAGTAATTGTTTGTATGTAGCCAATGCACCATGCACTTATTAACAAGTATGCACCTACATTCGTGCAATACAACAACAACAACATGCATACATATATGTCCATTCTTCGCTGCTATATCAATAGTAGGAAATAATTTAGGAAATACACTTGAGGGACTGATAGTTGACTAAACATTGCTAAAAGTTTTAACGTATCTGCAATGGATGATATTTGAAAAATGTGTATGTAGCATATTACTAGAATCAACTTATACGTATGTAAATTGTTCTTTTGCACTGAAATTATGCACAAAACAAATTAGAAAGAAATAAAATCAAAAATATGTATTGTTAATAACCGGTAAGATTTTAAATCTGTGAAAAAAAGAAAATAAAAAATTAATTCGGCGTACAAAATTAAGTGTGGTTTACGTGTTAGTGCATTCATGCAATTTTGCATTTGAACTAAGCGATGTTTAAGTTATATAATTTGCTTATGAAAAAACCTCAAAGCTTAAAAATACAAATTTGATTATGGTCATTTCATTCGTTTTAAGCAAATAATGAACCGTTGTTGTTTGGGGCAAAACTGGAAGAGTCCACTTGTTTTATTGGTTTTACTTTTTTTATGACACTCTAGAAGTATCGCTAACATTGAGTTTTCGAAAATTATCGTTTTTTACTTATAACTCCTTAAGGATTTCAGAAAAATTAATCACACAAGGATTTAATGTTTCCTCAATGGATTTCAAACAATTTGATGTATAATTTTTTGTGTGCGATCAATTAAAAAACTCGCGAAAATTCAGCAAATTTTCATCAAAATTTTCAACTGTTTCATCAGATTTTTTAGAATTTTTTTAGTATGCAGTTTTGCAGCCCATTAAATTCTAGTAAAAAAATGCAAGTTCGGAGTTAGTCAAAAATAGCGTTGATTTTTGAGAATTTGTTTTGTTGAAGGTGTTTTGCATTTTTTCCATATAAAGTATTTTCGAAAAATTTTTTTGTATGGAAGACTGCGTGAAAAAAATTTCCAAAAATCAACGGTAATTCCTAGCTAGTTAAAACTTGCACTTTATTATAAAATTGATTGGACTACAAATCTGCATACTCAAAAAAATTCTAAAAATCTGATTAAAAAGTTGAAATTTTTTATGAAAATTTGCTGAATTTTCGCGAGTTTTGCACAAAGCTTAGGAATTATATTTTTATGTTGTAGAATGAACCATATTTTTATAGGAAATTAACGGAAAAATATTGGAACGAAAATTGTTGCATATATTGTGAAAAATTTGCTGTGCCAATACTTTGTTCCGGCAGTGTATGTACATGGCAAACGTCAAACAGAACTGCTAACTTCCTGGTCTTGATCAAAAGCGGATTTGCTTTTTATGGCGAAAATGTAGTTTAATCCAATGCAGTTTGTAAGTATGCATATGTATATGGCCTTTACTATTTCCAGTTTTTATATAGATTCTATGTATCGAACCCTAACCGCAAAAAATATGTAAAAAATAAAATTTTGAAAAAAATGCCGCTTGCATCTTTTTGGCGGTTAGATCTCGATATATGTACATATGTATGTACATTGTAGAATAATGTGTATAGTATATTCTTAAAGCTACTTATAAAATTGTAAAACAACGTTTGACATAATGCACATGTATCTGACCAGCGCGATAGTATTTTTAGTAAATCTTACGAAAAATCTTACTACGATTGATTCAGCGAAAGCCTCGTATATACAAATATGTATGAATAGCGGACGTGTTCTGAAAAACCGTTACACATGAAAAGTTATGACTACGGGAAAATTTTGGCGAATGGCTGCAACACGAGTTTAAGGAACGAATGTTTGACAATCAGTTGCCTAAAAGTAGTAAATGCAATATAAACAATGTTTGCTGCTTGATTTCAGTAAATTTTCACTAGAGCACTAGCAACAGAGCATCGGTTAAGCAACAAGGTTGCAATGTTGGGATAATTACTACGTAGCCCCTTCCAATTTGTCAAGAAGACTGCATTTCCGTGGTAGTACAGCCTTAATAACGTAAGCACTGTTGACTGAAGTTCTCACCTTTTATTTTACATTTATTAATTAAAAATCTCTTATTTTTTGTATCCAAACTCTAGTATAAATATTTATAAAAAAAAGCAACTAGCACCAAAGTACAAGAAATTCCAAACTAACATTATACTGATGCAGCTCGAGATGCCAAATAACAAACACAAAACATATATCTACATAGGTACTTAAATATTTGTAGGGTCACGTTTCCCACCCGACGAGTTTATCTGTTTTACAGGCATCATTCGCATTTGCAACGAAATTTTAATTGGATTTTCCCTTAAGGCTCTCTTGGCACTGCATTTGTAAGCTGACCTTTTAGCGCATATTAGACCCTCATCTCATTCGCCGCATTTTACGCTCAAGTTTACGTTGCTTCTTTTCATCCAACTCTGGTTCTTGGTTGGCAGCGTTACGTTGTGACAGCCAAGGCTGAATTACACTACCCCACAACATCCAGACGGCCCGCAAAGGCGCCAAGAGTAAGAGGAACCAGAAGTAGTTGGATAGCAGGGAAAGTAAGAGTGTGCCTGATGTCAGAATGATTAAATCTTTTACATTTCTGCAAGGAAAAAGTGTATGTAATAAGAACATAGACTGCCAACAGATATTTTCTTTAACTCCACTTACTCGGCAATACCGCCCTCCATATTCAAATCGTTACCAGAATCCAGAATAGTGCCGCTTTCCGAGTACTTTGGACGCGACATGAAAACCATGAACTGTACGGCGGCAGTTAGAGACAGTACAGCAATGATGCCCATAATCTACGAGAAAAATGCAAAACCGATAATTTAATTTATTCTTATTTTTCGTATGAAAACGGTTAGCTCTTGGCTTGTACCTACCACCGTCACTGTGCTAATGCCAAAAAATATCAAGTTTATCAATACGGTGCCAGCGCTACATCCAATTGCCATGTTCCTATAAAATTTTAGTGTGGCCTTGTTTTCCTCTACAATCTGCTTTGCTCCTTTCGTTCCTTGCTTTCCCTTTTGTGATGGCTGCAAAATTCAAAGGTGGTAGAAGCTAAATGCAAAACGCTAAAATATAAAGGTTCCTTGCACTTACCGCCATTGTAAAATTGTTTAGATGTCCTTATTTAACCAATTCCTCGGCCTCGAAATTAGTCTGCCTATAAATGCTTCCTCTTATTTTTTTGGGCCCGTTCAGAATAGCATTCGTTTTCGTGGCGAGTTCTGACAATTTTAAAATTTTGATCCCTAATAGCGAATTTACATGAGGCGATTTTACGGGCAACTGTTAGTTTAATGCAGCAGTTGCCTGGTGTAGAAGGCATTTGAACTAATCACTTTCAATGGAGTTGGTCAGCTGTATACTAGCGTTCAACTTTTGGTTCAATTAATCGCCTGTGAAAGTTAAATCATGTAAATTCCCTATAACCGATTCCGGTTCGAACCCGGGTTCGTCAGCTAAGCATTTGTTTACATCACAAGCAGCACTATTGTACACTTGTCTTAGGGCACTGTCACGTGGTCAGTCTTTATTGACGTGATCCAAGTATCGCAATATTTATTGATAGTATAGCTTGCAGTATTGATGGATCGTGATCCATATCGCAAAATTTCTAAAAATTTTGAAATCTGGATCGCGGATCGCAATACCGTCAATAAATATTGAACGTGTAGCACTTTCAAAACGCAATCCATACATTTCGTCAGTGCATCTTTTACTCTCATAATGCGAACATCTGCTCTGCCTTCACTCTCACGGCTTAAAATCTTTCAAAACAAACTGAACAAATTTTAATTTACATTGGAAATTTTAAAATAATTGTGGAATGCATTATCTGTAAATTATATGTACAAAATAAAAATATTTTCTTGCGTCACAATAAGCGTTCAGCACAAAACGCAAATACTGACGCGATAAATAATAATATTGAACATGTAGCATTCGTGCGGGATCCATCAATCCATCAATATGGATCGCGATCCAAATATCGTGATAATTACTGACCGTGTGACAGAGCCCTTAAACTAACTTGCCGTCCCCATTAGCATACAGCTATCGCATGAGATCTGTTAGTTTTATCGCAAGCGAAATGCTCATCGCAGAGAAATTTTTATTCTTGGGCATTTCATCGCAGAAGATTTCATTTCAAAAAGTGCTTGCGAGTACATTCTACATGACGAAAATTTCTATATTCGCAAAAACCGCTTACTCCACATTGTTTTGAGCATATATTTAAAAAAAAATTATAACTTTATAAATATTCAAAGTTAAAACAAGCAGTGGAACTGCGATAGCTCGCAAGCGATATGTCCTGCTATTTACCTCCTTCAATTGCGATGAGTGGTCTCCACAAGCGATTCATCGCCGCAGATCTATCGCAGCAGATGAACAATCGCTAATGGAGACAGCAAGTAAAGAAGAGTTAATTCAAGGCAGTGTGCGGACTCCAATTTTTTTTTTTATTGGTGATAAGCCTCGAAAATTGTGGAAGGTTCCAAAACAATTAAGGGATTCCCTTAAACTCGTAAAGTCTTAAACCGTGCAAAACTCGTAAGTTTTCGAGTCTTATGGGAACGCCCGCTTTGTGAAAAGGTACAGGTACAGTTGAAAATACCGAAAATTAGCAGAAACCCCAAGTTAGTGGATGAAATTCATTAATTTTATTCGCGTATTATTTTTTATTAATTTTTTTTTTTTATTATTTTATCATACATTTCAGTATAACTGAAGGTTACGAGGTCGTTTGCGCATAAAATTTGCCTCGTAAATTTACGAGGGGATCGCAAATAGAGCTCCATAAAAGTTTTTACAGTTCTTTTACGAGGCTCGTAAATTTACGAGCTTTACGAGGCTTTTACGAGTTTAAGGGAAGACCCATAATGTGGTAGATTAACATATAGTATATGTAGATTAGGTCTGGTCGAATTGTATGGTAGATTTTTTCGACTGTGCGCGTATAAATAGCAGGGACGGAAAATAATAATTATTTTTTAATTTTAGCCAAAAAAAATCAACAAGTTGTAATTGTTGTAAAACAATTTTAACTATTCTCATGTATTTGTGTTCGCACGTTCTACTCAATAATAATTATTATTTTTAAGCGAAAAAAATTAAAATCATTAAATAATGATCAAATGCTGATTTAAATTATTTTACTCATAATGATTACCGTCCCTGATAAATAGCATAGGAAGATTGTACGAATTTGCCGAAGAAACCATGGGTCTAAAATAATTCGGATTTTGCCAAATTGCGAAAATAGGTTTTCTAGAATTTCGCTGCAGTGTTGTAAAGAAGTGCATAAATTTTATATGCTTTAAGGGGTTTTTGGTATGACGAATCAATTTTTGGACTTATCTTTCCTGAACTATCCGCGTGGGGGAGCTATAGTGAAAATGTTAATATTTTCTTTTGTTTTATAATAAAAGGTATAATTTTTTTTCATAAAAATAAAATTCAACGCAGAATACATATATGTACATATCGTCGCCTAGGTAAAAGATTGTCGTACGGTACGCATGTATGTACGTATGACGCTTACGACAATCTTTTACCCAGCCGACGGTATATGTCCATATAAGAATAACATTTTTTTAAACATTTCAATTTGAATTAAAATTTTAATTTTTTTAACTGCAGTCACGCACATAGTATCTGGTGATTTTAAAAATTGTTGGCTGATTTTTTTATTAAAATATGGCTTATATTTTTACAAACACCATATAAATCTAAGTTTGTACGAAAATTAGGAGAGTTCTACAAAACTTCATCAAAAATTGCAAACTTTTTAATAAGCATTAAAAAGAAATTCAATTTTAATACAATAGTGTGCAACGTTTAACAGTCTTAAAATTCGCGTTGAATTTTAATTTTTTTTATTTTTGCCGACAGTGCTAAGCCCAGTACTCTTTTTTATATGAAAGAAAATCCATAAGGTATTCGTTACCTTTGAACATACCTTTGAATAGCATTTTCGAATAAATGATTTTAATAATTCTGTGCATAATGGGGCGTATACTTGTTTTCGTATGAATCGAAAATCATGAATTTTCCTATCATTTTCTATAAAAAAATTCAAATTTTCGGTTCGTACGAAAATCATGAAATTTTCCTATCATTTTGAACTCAAAAATGTCAAATTTTGGATTCGTACGAAAACCAGAATACGGCTCAATATATATTTTTTGTTTTTTAAGTTACTGTGATATAGTTATATTTAGTTATTTAAAAACACTTTATTATAAATATTTATTGGTACTTCTAAGGGCCGTTTGCACCGTGTCTAGTTAATTCTAACTGCCAGTTAAACATCTTTATCGACGTTATCGACACCCATCATATAACATGTGATCGATAAAGCAGTTAACGTGCTTAACTGAAGCGTTTGCATTAAATGCTCCGCAATTGCATCCCATGTCACTGCTCACCGCCCCTATGCCGATGATATGCCGTACTTATCGATGAGTGTGGTTGGCGGTCCAGAACGCGGTACTTCCGGCACATACATGTGTTTCACTTCCATATTACGCTACATTTCAAGCGCACTCAGCACAGCCTCACCTTAACCCTCCTCCCGGTAGTGGTCCTCAACTACAATTATGCGCCCATTAC